TGGGGATATACCCCTGGTGGTGTGGGGATAATTCCTGTGTGAGTCCCAGCCCGCGTCTCTGTGCGATGGGGCAATGGCAAGTCCTGAGGCCCCCTGTGCTGCTCTGGCGACTCTCTGCGAATCGGAGAAGTCACGGGTGTTTTCTCGCCGTCCAGGCGGGTTTTGTTGGGGCTTGCCTTTGATCTGCTTTTAATCGGGGGTTTGGGCGTCGGGGACCACTTGCTCTGCGGGATGAACCTCTTGGGAAGGCCGGGGGGACTCGGGACCCCACCTGGCACCGGACGGGCCGGGAAATTCCGAGGGCGGTCAGGGAATTTCCGGGGTTAGGCACCGTAGATGGGCACAGGGAGAATAATCGCTAAGTAGCACCATTGGTAACGATAGTAAAAAATGCGAATATTTGGTCAAATCAATGCTCCTACGCAAGGAGGAAACGAAATTCAGCAGGAGACCCCCCAGAGCTGGCTCCCCGCGGGAGGGGGAATGCGGGGGGGGAGGGGGGGGCTGCATCCCGACAGAAACGTGTCCCTGGCCACAGCAGGGAAAGGAAAACGGGGAAAGTATGAAAATACTGCTACAGCCTGGAGTGTGAAAAACAGCACGGCTGGATCCGCGTTGATCCAGGGAAATTACTGCTGGGTGCCCAGTCCCGCTAAATTAGGGTAACTTCAGCGCACACTTCGACAGCCCCACAGCACGTGCAAGGGCTTGTGGTGGGTTCATTCGGATAATTTTTATCGACGGCTGGAAAATGCGTAAACTATTTGGGGGGTACATATATATGCATATATATGTATTTACTCTGTACAATTTGTGAGCTCTGACAATTCTACTTAAGGAATCCTTTCCTGTAATCGATAATCTGGGTACTGATGAAACAGCAGCCTTCAGCATGGAACATTGAAATTGCACCCCCCTTGTATCACCAGTCAGCATCACAAATTGATTGTTTCAACCGTTTATTTATATATATTTTTTCTTTGGTTTGAATATTCCGTAACCTGACATCCGTTTTTCAAAGCCAAACCAAAATCCCGGAGCCGGTTCAATTTTCCGCCCAGGTCAGGTGCCGCCAGGAAAGAGAGCACAGCAAAGCTCCGCGGTGCCTTTTCTGACCCCGGGACTAGATGATGGGCGCGCAGTTTACGCCCCTGCGGAGGGTTGCGGGCGCGGGGGGGAAGACGAGGCGGAGCTGGTGCCAAGCAGCACCCCTCTCCCCTCCACTGGACGTGGCCAAATCTGTCGCCGGAACTGTGACCGCGTGGTGGAACCGGGGTCACTCCGCCTGTGCGCTGCCTTGAGCAGCGGCGAGGAAATTGCGCGCTCCTTCCTGCAGCTAACGCCGACCGCTAATTGAAAGTTATTTATTGCGCTTCGTATATATAATTTTGTGTCGTCGTCTTCCCCCCCCACCTCACCCCGCCGTCTGAGAATAATATATGCAGCGGTTGTTAGCCTCACCCCAGGGAAAACTAAATGTATAACGAAAGCTTATTCGTGAGGAGGAATATACTAAGGGAACAACCTGATGTCTTCTTAATCCAATGTAAAAAGCTCTGTAGTCTTCCTAATATTGACTGAATGGGTAATTAATGGCTCTTCATCGAGGAGAATACCCGGTAATCCGAGATAGGCGAAAGACAACAAGCCAAAGGTAAAAGACAACAGGACTAGCTAGAGACTCTGCATGAGAACCGATTTATCCATTTAGGAGAGCATTACGCCTAGAAACAACGATCCCGTAAGGAGATAAAGGAAAAGTGAGAGAATAAACACCCACCGTAGGTCTGGCCGTCCTCCGACACCCCAGCCCATCTCCCTTCCCGCTCTCGACCTGCCTGCCTCCCGCACCGGGGCCGTCACCGCGGATCCATGGCGGCCGGCGGGAGCAGAAGGTCGAAGACACCCTCGGGGGGGCAAAAAAAAAAACAAAACAAAACAACATAATAAGATTTTATTTTTTAATTAAATTAAAAAGGAGACGCAGAAGGGAGAGAGGGGTGCGGAGCAGCCCCAGTCCCCCAGTTTTCTTGCCGCAGGTTGCCCTCCAGCGCACCGGGGCTTGCCCCCTGCCAGCTTTGCAACAATAGGCAAAGACAAGGGGAAAAACCCCTCCAAATCGTTTATTTTTTGGGGGGTGTCAGCCATTCTGGTGAGCCGGCCGGGGCGGCTTTGCGGCCAGGACCAGAACCTGGAAGGGGATGGAGCTTCCAGAAGGGAAAAAAAAAAAAAAAAAGAAACTCCAGAAAAGCATTTTTGACATTTGAATTGAAACTTCTACCGCTAATATATTACTCGGTTGACTACAATTAGGTTGTTTTTCGGTTGTATGACAGCTTTTAAAATATTATTTCACTCGGGAAATAAAAGCTTCATCTCATATTATAGGTGGGTATTTTTGGATTTACGTGATTTATGGTCACCATGACAACTAATGCTGAGTGGTAGCTCCCCTCCTGCCCGGGCTGGGGGAGTTGTAATCCAAGGCACAAAACGAAATTCCGGCACTCCTTCCCTTCGGGTGCGGGACTGGGCCTCATCAGCTCCCCGCTTCTGGGGACGCGGGAACGGGCGGAGGGTCTGTGCCCGCTGGGGCAGGGGGAGCAGGGACCCTCCCCCGCTGGGGAAGGTGCTTGAGGGAGGCGCGGTGGAGGGTCCCTGCTCCCCCTGTCCCCCTCCCTGGGGGGCCGGGACCCGCGGAGTAGCCCAGGACAAGGAGGCACCGCCGCTGCGCTCTGCAAGGGCACCAAGCGCGTAAAAAGCGCTCTGCGCCGCGCAGCCAGGAGGGACTTTTTGTTTGGATTCCCTGCGAAAGAAGCCAAACTAACGAAAATAAACGACTGCAAAATAAAATAGTAGAAAAGTAGGAGGGAGAAAGGGCTCATCTGCGGGAGCGATGCATTGCCGTGTTGAAAAACAATTGTACCGCCTCCCCGGGGCTTTGCGGGCCGGTAGTCCGGAGACGGGCTGGAGAAAGGCAACGCCCCGCCCGGAGCTCCCCGCAGCCAGGCCAGGCCAGGGGCCAGGGTAGTCCCCACCCCTCGAAGGGAAAAGAGGCGGGGGATGGGGGGGTTGGGGTATGATGGGAGAACCGAGGGCCGATTTCTGGGTGCGGGACCATGGATGTAGAGAGGTTAAGAAGAAACGGGGATATGATTGGTAAACAAATTGTGCAGAATGGAGCTGGATTCATATTGACTTAGTTATAGGTCATCTGCTGCCGGTGCAAAGGGAGGAAATATTTACTTTACACACATACTTTATGATCTTGGGGGAATTAGAGGAAATTCAATAAGAAAACGGCTAGAATCATTTTAAACCCCCTATTTAAAAGACTTAAGCAAATTAGAGTCTTATCAGATTAAAATCCACTACAAATGTAAGAGCATTGTCTCCGTCGAAACGCTGTGGGGTCTGAGGAAAGAGATTCTTTGCCAAATCTCAGGGATAAAACCACGTCATTTAAACACCAGATAATGAGCAGAATGTAAATTAATTTAACCTTCTTTACTAACAGGCTGCGAAAGTAATATGTATAATTTAGTGATAAGTGAGATTGCGGGGGGTTATACGTTCCTCGGACGAGCATCAGAGACCAAGAAGGACCCTTGCGGGGGTGGGCAGGAGAGCAACGGGATACAGTAAAGTTTGGGCGCTGGGTTATGGCTATGGAGGGCCACTGCAAGGGGAACCTTTCAGTAACTTTTCGATGTAGAGGGACTGAAGACACAGACACAAACTGTGTTTTCCACCGGGCTCCCACGGGCTCCCCTCCCCGAGCAGGGCCGCTGTCCCCCCGGGGCATGGCTCGGGGACAGGCTGCTCTGCTCTGGGACGCCCTGACCGGCACCAGAGGACAACCTGTCCCCGCCCTACACCCGCTTCCCCCTCCTCCTGCCGGACCCTGATCCGCAGCAGCCTCGCCCCGAGCCAAAAGCGGAGCCAGCGGGACCCCGCAGCTCGTCCCTCTGCAGTTTCTGTCCGGGGGTGGCTGCCCGAGGGCGAGGGGTCACGTCCTGCCCCTCCAAGCCTATGAAGGCGGTAGCTCAAGGAGGTCGTATGGGTGAGATTGGAGTGCTGGAACCCTGCCCGGTGCAGGGCTTGGCCAAACTGTAACCGGCGTTCTCGGGCGCGGGTTTGGGTTCGGGGGCTGCTCTGAGCGCCGGGACGGTCCCCGCGGGTCCCCGCCGAGGGCGGGGAGCGATCCCTGCTGATAATGTGTAAAACCGGGGAGGAAAAGACCCCTCGGGCGGTCGCTGTGGGGAATCCGGCGGCAGAGGGCGGGGGGGGCAATGGCAGTGGCATGGAGAGGATTCCCCCCCGTGTTCTTTCTCCGCCTCCGGTGAGGGCAGAGGGAGGCCGGGCGTGCAGCCTCTTGCTCTGTGTGCGGCTCCCCGCGGAGGGGCTGCTGCTCTTTCTGCCGCCGCCTGTGCCTCGCAGCGGCCTTCCCTCTCCTGTCGCGGCGGACCCGTAGTCTCTCCGGCTGTGACCCCTCCCGCTTGTTTCCCACCCTCTCGGACAGAGGGAGACGGGCCCGGGGTCCTCCACTCCTCGTTGCAGCGCTTCTGTCATTGCCGAGCGCTCCGCCGCTGCGGAAGGCAGCGCGGCGGGGCGCGGAGGGAGCGGGCGTGCCCGGATCCGCCCCGACGGGTCTCCCCGTGGGTCGGGCTCTGCGGACATGGGTACGACCCCCGGGGCAAACCGGGCGGATAACGCTGGGCTTACGGGGGGGCGTGGGAGGCGGGACCCGGGCAGGGGCGGGGCGCGGCGGGGCGGGCAGAAGGCGGTGCGGGGCGTGGCGGGTGACGTGCGGCGCGGGGAAGGCCGCCGCCGGTTTAAGATGTCAGGCCAAGAGGGAAGCGACTGAGCTGGTGCGGTGCGGGGCCGGCCGCGCGCGGCGCGGATCCATGCGCGGGCAGCGCAGCGCAGCTCCCCGCCGAGCCCCGCCGAGCCCCGCGGCGGGCCGGGGGCCGCCGGTCGGCCGGGGAGCAGCCGTGTCGCCGTGACGGCTCGTGCAGGACCGGACTCGCCCGCTCGCCTGTCGCCGCCGTCGCGCCCCCCTGGGCGGCGGGGGCCTCCTGGGCTCGCCGTGCCGCCCGGGCGCTAGCCGAGCGCCGCCCGCCCAGCCGCGGCTCCCCCGCCCGGCAGCCCTGACACCCCGGAGCCGCTGGGCAGCTCCGCGCCCACGGAGGGGGGCGCCGCTCCGGCCGTCGTACACGTACCGACACCTACAGACACACGCACACCTTCTCCTACCGACCCCCCAGGCACGCACGTAGAGCTTGGCATCCTTTTGCCGATGAACTGCATGAAGGACACGTTAAGCCTGGAGCGCCTGGGAGCAGGGAATAAGTTGTGCTCCTCCTCACCTTCCTCCTCTTCCTCCTCCTCTTCATCGTCTTGCCACCACCACCAGCCCGCGCTGGCCATGGCGACGGCGCTGGCGCCGGGGCAGGCGCGCTCCTCCTTGGAGTCCGCCAAGCACCGTCTGGAGGTGCACACCATCTCTGACACCTCCAGTCCTGAGGCCGCAGGTAAGAGGGGGCGAGCGGCTGGGACTCCCGGGTGACCCGCTGCCCTGCCCCTGCTCGGCCTGTCCCACCGGTAGCCCCGCGGCCAGCAACGCGCAGTCGTCGCTCCCCTCACCGTGAGCGCCTCGCACTCGGCAGAGACGCTCTTCGTGGGATTTCTTTTCGCGTGCGGTGTCTGTGCTGGCGTGTGGGAAGATAATGACATGTGTAAAGACGGGCGAATAGCGTGTATAGCGGCGGGCGAGTGAGGTGGATACTGATGGGCGAGTAATATGGGCATAGACGGACATACACCACGGATATAGACAGACAAGTCATATGGGTATAAACGGAGAAATACTGTGGGTGTAGTCGGACAAATCATATGGGTATAGGTAGCGGAATGATGTAGATAAAATGCACGAATAGTAAAGGATGCAAGCAGAAGAATAGCGCGATACAGGCAAGCGAGTAATACGGTTACGTATGGGCAAATAATACGGATTACGTGTATGCAGATGGGAGATACAGACTGGCAAAAAATTCGTGTGCATCAATAGGTGAGAAACCTGCGTACATCGGCGGAGGGGCGGCTCCGTCCGCTCCCCGGAGGTGGCTACTTCCAGGGAGGAGCCGCCCGCGGGTTCGGAGGAGCCGCTGGTGCGGGAGGCCGGTGCGGTTAATCATTACACCGGGAAGCCGCGCTGGGGGCAGGCTGCGGGGCCCGGCGAGCCGGGGACGAGCGCTTCCCCTGCCACGGGAGAGGAGAGAGAAAGAGGAGGCTTCGAAGGCTGAGGCGCCCCTGTTTTTCGCCTTGTTGTTTTTTTTTTGTTTCCCCCCTTACAGAGAAAGATAAGAGCCAGCAGAGCAAGAGTGAAGATGCTGGGCCCGAGGATCCCTCCAAGAAAAAGAGGCAGCGGCGGCAGCGGACCCACTTTACCAGCCAGCAGCTGCAGGAGCTGGAGGCCACTTTCCAGCGGAATCGCTACCCGGACATGTCCACCCGGGAGGAGATCGCCGTCTGGACCAACCTCACCGAGGCGAGGGTTAGGGTAAGTCGCGACAGGACACGCCGGCTCCTAGCAGCGGGGGTCGGGGCGGGGAGGAAGGGGAGGAGGGCTGCGGTGTCTGCAGCTGCTTTCGATTTCGCTTTGTACGCAAACTCCAGAGCCTTTGCACAAAAGCAGGGCAGCGCAGGACAGTTCTGTCAAAGCGAGATAGATTGGGATCCCTCTCTCACTCTCTACCCCCGGAATATGGTTTGCTGCACGTTTCGCCCTCGCCGCGCAATGCGTCCTGCTCCTTTTGATCGAAACGCTAATGAAAACATTAGCCAAGAAAGCAACTCGGAACAGGCTGCAACCTGCGCTGCCGCTAATGAGAAAAAGATGTAAAATACACAAGGGCTTTTACTTCTCTCCAAGGCAGTCCCGACGTGCCCTTCCTTGCATTTTCTCTTTCTTTTGGTTTCACAATTCGACGGGCGTCTCTCTCCTCCCTTACCCCCTCTGAGATTTATGGGACCATCACGGCGCTGCAGAGTTGCCGAGGCCGGATCCTTCTGGCTTGCAAACGCCGCGCTGGGGGGGGGGGGCGAAACGACATCTGAAAAAAGAGCCCCAGACGGGCCGAACCCACATTTTTTTAAAAATCCCACGTAAATCCTTTCCCCGCGATAGTTCAGGGAAACCGATGCAGTGCGAGTCAGGGCCGGAGTGAGTGGGGCCCACGGTGTGCAGGGCCGAGGCAGCTCCGCAGGGGGAGCGGGGCCCGGCCGGCGCCGCGCCGGGGTACGGAGTGGTGTCGGACACGGTACGGCTTTTGAGGGAGGTTTTGGTTTCTGGAGGTGCAGAGAGGCCATATGGGGCCCGTCTCCGTGGTGTCCGGGCCGCCCCTGCCCGGCCCAGTGCGGTGGGGGTGCTGCAAACACCCAGGGGTGGCTCCAATACACACGGGTGAGGCTGCTGCTGGCGGCTGCCCGACGGGTCAGGCACCCAGATGTGGATTGGGAAGGACACGTTGTCCCCATTGTCTGAGGAGGGTCTCTTGGGTCTCATTTAGCACATTGTTAAATGGCGATTTTTTGGGGTTGGGGTTTTATTTCGGTCTCTTTGGGTTTTCGTTTTCTTTTTGCCAAAGAGCAGTCGAATAAGTTTGTTTAGAAAGTGGTTTTCGGCTCTGGAAGCTTTGTAGCTTTAACTGAAGCAAGGATTTATTAGTTGCTGGCTTCCCCCTCCTTCCCCGTAATAGGAAACATAGCCTTAAAATTCCACGGGTTTCCGGGCATTTTGCCCTTATTTTTACACTTTTGTATTTCCCCTGGATGGCTCCAGCGCAGAATAAGCCAAGGACGGAGGGGAGCATAAAAGAGAGAGAAACGAGGAAAATGACAGTAACGATAGAAACATAGAAGAGGGAAGCGTTTACCGCTGTGGCTCGAATGAGAGTATCGCATATTGTGTCGGGGGTTTCGGGGAAGGGGCACGAATTTACCCTGCTGAGATCCGGCAGCGCCAGGCCCGGGGGGTGCTCTGCAGGCCCGGCAGCACATTGCTGCCCCGGCCCAGCGAGGGGCTCCCCAGAGGAGGTGGCGAACCTCTGTGTGTGTGTGTACGGACACATCTTCATGTATGTACGCATGCATATATGTATGCCTGTGCATAGGGACAAGCTCGGCTGTTGCCGAGATCTTGTGAAATGCTGCGGCAGTGGTTCCTGACTAATTCGCGTCTCCCATCTCCCTCCCTCCTTCCCTCTTCCTCCCCGTTCCAAAGGTTTGGTTCAAGAACCGCAGAGCCAAATGGAGAAAGAGAGAAAGGAACCAGCAAGCCGAGCTTTGCAAAAACGGCTTCGGTCCACAGTTTAACGGCCTGATGCAGCCCTACGATGACATGTACCCCGGCTACTCGTACAACAACTGGGCAGCCAAGGGCCTGACCTCCGCTTCACTCTCCACCAAAAGCTTTCCTTTCTTCAACTCCATGAATGTCAACCCTCTGTCTTCTCAGAGCATGTTCTCCCCTCCAAACTCCATTTCCTCCATGAGTATGTCTTCAAGCATGGTACCCTCTGCAGTCACCGGGGTCCCCGGCTCCAGCCTCAACAGCCTGAATAACTTGAACAACTTGAGCAATCCCTCCCTGAATTCTGCGGTGCCGACGCCAGCCTGTCCTTATGCTCCTCCAACACCTCCATATGTTTATAGGGACACATGCAACTCGAGCTTGGCGAGTCTGAGACTTAAAGCCAAGCAGCACTCCAGTTTTGGCTACGCCAGCGTGCAGAACCCTGCTTCCAACCTGAGCGCTTGCCAGTACGCGGTGGACAGACCCGTGTGAGGCACCCAAGTAGGAAACACTGCCTGGGAATCCCTCCCGCTTCCTGCAGAGACTGAGAATCACGCTAGAAAGTAATGGGCACTAGAGAGAAAGAGACAGGAGGAAAAATCAGAGAGAGAGAGGGAAAGAGGAAAGAGAAGGGGGGAAAAAAAGAGGAAACCACTGAAATAAGATAGTTCCTTTGTTTTCAAAGGACCTTCTACAGATTCTGAGATCTTTCACTAAGAGTATTTCAACAGTTACAAGGACATATATATATATATATATATGGACAAATGTTTGACTGGATATGATATGACATTTTAATGTTACTATAAGCTTGTTATTTTTTAAGTTTAGCATTGTTAACATAAAAACGACTGAAAGGATGTATATATATCGAAATGTCAAATTAATTTTATAAAAGCAGTTGTTAGTAATATCACAACAGTGTTTTTAAAAGGTTAGGCTTTAAAATAAAGCATGTTACACAGAAGCGATTAGAATTTTTTCGCTTGCGAGCAAGGGAATGTATATACTAAATGCGACACTGTATGTTTCTAACATATAATTATTAAAAACAAAAAAATTGTGTGAATATCAGTTTTAGAATAGTACCTCTGGTGGATGCAATGATGTTTCTGATATTGCAATGTAAAACATGCCCTGTGTATAACATTTCGTACAATTATTATTGTTTTACTTTTCAGCAAACATGAAAAAAAAATGAAATGAAATGTGTTTTATTTCATGGGAGTAAAATATACGGCATATAGTTCTGTCTGCATTTTTATTTACCGAGACAAGCTGCGCAGCGGTAACTGCTCCGCAGTGATTGACTGGTCGCTGACACTGGACCTCGCTCTCTAGAAACACAGGGCAGTTCTTTTTATTGCAATACAAATAAGTGTCGGCATTTTTTGTTTCCACATAAAAAATAGATCCCAGGCTCTAACGCTGCATGATAGAGGAACGCGCGGCTTGGACCCGCGGAATCCCTTTATTCCCCCACGCAGCCCCGAGAAAATGGATTATTTGACATCGTTGGCCTCGGGAATTATCAGCCACAAAGTTGCTGTATCTCGAGCATAAATTTCTCCCTCTGTGAAGGAAGCTTTTATTACATTAAAGAAGAGGGGGTGGGGAAGAGAACAGAAAAAAAAGGCAAAGAAAAGCCAGTTTGCAAACAAACTGCTCCTGTTCACAATAATCTGTCCCCTCTGCCGCCCCCTGCGCTCACCTTCTCTCCCTTCAGCGGGGAGATCCTTCATGTACTATTGCATTTCTATTCCAAATCCCCCTTTCAGACATGAAGAGAAACAAAGAGCAGCCCAAATCACGGCGGCCCCGCGGAGCGCGGGGGTGAGAGGTTAGCCCCGCGTTTCCTGCGACTTCGTGCTGCAACACGTCGTTGAAGGGAAAGGTCGTGCTCTCCTGTGTTTTGTTTTAAATAATATCGACCCATTCATTCTCAACCTGCTTGTTCCTGAAATTATACAGGATTATAACTTTGCCGTCGCCCCGGACGATTGAAACAAATCAAGATGAATTGCCGCTCGGCCCTCCCTCCCTCCCGGCGGCCCTCAACCCCTGGGCGGGCAAGGAGGGGCTGCAGGGGGGTGCGGGGCTGCTCCTGCGGCACCCGGCGAAGAAATTCCGCAGGCGCGTAAACTGGCGAGCAGTGGAGGGGACTCCAGGGAGGCAATTCACCGCGGTGGGGGGCGAGCTTGCACCGTGCGCGGCCTTTGCGCTCTCCTTGCGCGCTTTTGTGCGGCCGGGACGGCACCGCGGTTAGCCGGGGAGAGGAGCAGGAAAGAGGGGGCGAGGTCAGCGCCCTGCTCTTTCCCATGGGGAAAATGCTTTCCCCATCCGAAAACGGCGTCTTCCCCTTTCGTGTTCCCATTTGCAGCATGAGCAGACCCCATCCACACTTTTTTTCTTTCATATGTTTTCTGTAATTTTTATTCCCCCCCCCATAATATTTTGGTTTTCTGTTTGTTTGTTTCCCGGGTGTGTGTGTTGATTTTAATTATTTTTTTTATATTTTTTTCTTTTTTGTGTGTATGTGTGTTGTTTTCTAAACCCGTTTTCTGTTTGCTCTCCTTTCTGTGTTGTTGCCAGAGGGTCAGTCAGAGCCTCTGTGCTTGGGGCGGGGGGAGGCGGTGCCCCCTCCTCAATACCCGGCCTTCCCGCCGCTCCGAACCAACGCCGTTCCCGTCGTTTTTTTCCGCACCGTGTCAACACCTAACATGGGTGAGTGTCACAGGGGCTTCAAAAAATGTCCCCTTCTTCCTCCTTGTCCTCTCCCTCCTCGCTGGGCGGCGGGCGGGAGGTCTGGGGGCGACGGCGGCTAGGGGCGGGCATCTGGGACCCCCCCGGGGTGGGGGGGAAGTGGAGAAACTCGAGTGCTTTTCTGCCCCAACCGTCCCGGCCGGACGGGCTCGGAAAACCAGCAAGCGGCTCGCTGCGGGTATCGGCACGGTATTTTACATGCTCTTCTCGGCTCTCGTTTCTTCTCGGCGGCGTTGGTTATTTATATTCCTCTCATATATATAAAATATCCATGTATTTATTTAGAATATGTGTGTGCGTGGAGAAGGAATATGTATGTAATATATAGTATACGCGTACACGTTTAGAAGTATAATATATACCGTATCAGACAAAAAAAAAAAAAATTGGATCAGAGTTTTCCACTCTACTGTGTAATGGCTCAAATGATGAAAAATCAACGTGACCGCTCAGAGAGGACATAAATCACTCCGAGTGTAATCTGAATTTCTCTTTCTCCCCCTAGCTGAAGCCTTGAGGGTCATCATTTTTCTGCGCCACTTGACCAAAGATATAATGTTTTGATTAGGTTGTAAATCAAAATCTTGGCTCGCGGTTTTTCTTTTTCTGATTTTCTTCTTTTTTTTTTTTTTTTTTTTTTCCGGGGTCTTCCCCTTATCTGCGGTGGCAACGCGAACCTGGAACAATGGAAGCCGTAGAGAGGGCTTGGAAAAGCCACAACGAAATGAGGGATTTGCAAAGTGCCTATTTGCAGAAGCGGCGGGGGAGAGGGGTGAAACACCGGCCTCGCACCCCTCAACACCCCCCACCCCCGGGAGCCCTCGGCAAGGGGCCTGCTGCTCGTCCCCGCGCGCCGGGCGTGCGAGCGGGCAGCGCCGTCTGCTTCCCAATCCACATCCTAATCCACATCCCAATCCACATCCTAACCCACAGTCCCGCCGGCCGGGGCATCCCTGCTGCCTTGGCCCCGCCGCCCACCGCCTCGGCTCTGCTCTTTTGTTTTCGGACGGGGCCTCCGCACTTTGGACGGTGGCGGCGCGCCCAGGGCAGGGCTAAACGCGGTGTCGGTGTGTCCCGGGAGGCTCTCCCGCGGGCCTCTCCCTGCTCGGCTTTGTGCTACTTCTCGCCCGCCCGCGTGTGCAGGCACACCGGCCTCCGCATACCTGTACCAGGAAATAAAAGAAACTTTTCCGGGTTTGTTTTACTTGGGTTCTTCTTTTTTTATTATTTTTTTTTTCCCCTTACAACATTCATTAGCGTTTTTGGAGGGAAGAAACTTCCTTGGGGAAATAGTTAACATCTGAACCCGCCCGTTTCTACACGCTGCGGAGAATGTCTGCCCCCCCCCCCGCCCCTCCGGGCTGCACTGAAGGGTTTTTGGGGGGACACGACACATGAGTGCGGTTCAAGACGGGGACCGGCTCATAGCTCGCCGGCCCTCAAACCCACGCGTTTTCTGGGCATATGAATTATCGTGCTAAGTGCCCGCTTTGGTACAGTGTTATACATGTGCAGGGCTGAATACTGGGCAGATAGACTGTAGCAGTCAATAATGCAGGATCCTGGGAGAATTTACACCCTTGGAGCGCCATACAGTGCCGGACTAATCGATTACTAAACCTGGAGTTTTCTAAAGGCGACCTTCTTTTGGAAGTAATTCCTCCAGTTTTCTGCTCCTTCTTCAAGGAAGAAACGCTCCCTTGCGAATTTTTAGCGGCAAGGTATTTTTTAATTTTTAATTAAAAATAAAACCGCTGTTCAGGCCGCTTTTCGCGAGCTCGGACCTCCCTTGTGCCGGCAGAGCCGCGGTACTGGAGTGGGCAGAGCCAGGCCGCTGCTGCGCGCCGGTGCGTAGGGGCTCAGGGAGCTCTGCGCTGCCCGTCACCGGTGCTGGATGAATTCCTCCCCCCGGTCGATCCGCGGTTTCGGGGAGGGCGGGATTTATTTTCTTGCATTGTCCCCTGCGGCTGCGACCACCCCGCGCCTCCCCGGAGGCAGAGGGATGCGACGGGGCCGGGGGGTCACTCCCTCGCAGGCTGAGCCGGGACAGTGAGAGCCGTCGCGGCCAAAGAGGGGGCAGCGCCGGCCCTGCCTGCTCGGAGGGCGGGCTTGTGCCCTCCTGGGGGGACACTGGCCCGGCCCTGGCCCAGCGACCCCGCGCAGCGGTGGCGGCGGCGGTGCGAGTGGGGCCTCCCGGACTCCGGCCCCATCGGGGGAACGGCAGTGTGGCTGAGGAGGGGCAGGTCACCTCCCGGCACCGCCTCGGTAAGAGCCCGGGCCGGATCTAAACGGGGAGAGGGCGTCCGGGCCGCCCGGCAGGTAAAACCCTCGGAAAAGCCCGGGGGTCGGGAAGAGCCGTCCCCAGCCCCGCCGGAGGGAGCGGAGGAGGGACGCGACCGGGAGAAAAGAAAAGCAATGAAAGAAAGAAAATAAATAAAACCACAAAGCCACAAAGCCCCCTGCAGCCCACCCGGGAGCAAGATCCCGCGCGTGCCTCTCTCCGGCAGTGAGGAAGAGACGGGAGCCTTTCGGTCCCAGGGGGGAAACCTTTGGGAAAGGAGCCGTGTGAGCCCAGGGTGTGCGTGTCTGTGTACGAGTGTGAATGTAGAAGAGACTCCTTTCCGGCCCAGAGGGGCTCCCCACCGAGCCGGGGTCCAGCGGGGAACCGTCTCAGATTCACGCACGCATATACATATGCACACATAAATACATCTGTACAGGTACATGCGTATTCCGCGCACACATAAGCGCACCCCAAGCGCCGTGCGGGATGTGCCCTATCGCCTCTGCCCGCAGACGAGCGGGATGGTCCTGCGGCCGTAGCGCCCCCACGGCCACGCAGCGACTGGCCCCGCACAGCCCTCATGGGTGAAACCTGCGCTCTGATGGAGGAGAAGGGCGGCCGTGATCGCCTGCTACACTCCTCTTCCTTTTGACCTTGTTTTAAGGTTTTCCCCCAGCTCTTCCCTGACCGCCCGGCCCGTGTTGAACGTTAACCGGCCGGAGCGGCCTCTAGGTGTAAAATGCTACGTATAAGAAGTATCATTTCTAAGGTTGTAGTAAAACGTCCCGTAAAGTCCATCTATAAATTCTAGTATGTGCTTAGTGCTCCGGCTTCACATCTTACCGTTGCAAAGGGGTTTTTGCCGTCCCCTTTTCTCCTCACCTTTTTTCTGCCCCGAAATCGCGCCTGCAGCCCTGACTCCGGTCCCGCATGCCCTCGGTGGGTGCGGACCGGATGCACCCCTTCCCTACCCCAGGAGGAGAGCGGGTCCCCGCAGAGAGATCCCCGAGGCGCCGGCGGCCGCAGCCGTCGGGGGCGCGGGGGCTGCCTCTCTCCCTCGGAACCGTGCGGGGGGAGAACAAGCGGGACAGACACTGCCCTGAACTCCCCGGGGCGGCAGGAGCCCCCTCCTCCAGCCAGCTGGAGGGGGCCGGCTCGCAGATGTCCCTGCTGCTCCCGCCCTCCCAGAGGGACTGCGCCTCTATGTGTGCGATAAGAAGGGATAGTCATATATGGCAGCAAGGTCCAATAAAACTCAGCAAGGCTCACCCCTGCAAATTCGTTACGTGTTTTTCTCCAGATTAAAGGGAAAAAAAAAGAAAGAATATTTGATCTGAAGGGAACGCAGTGCTGCGCAGCCTTGGCAGCGGGTTAGGATCGATAAGCACGCAGCAATCAATGCAGCCCGCAGTTTAAATGCACGACCAAGATTTATGCAATTGGAAAGGAACCCGAGAAACCAGCCCCTGGCCTGCTGTGTAGAAATGGCAGCACTGGGGGAAAACACGAGGGTGGAGCCGGGCTCATCACTTGATGTGTATATTTAGTGTGGTCGTGGTTCTACTGGCTCACAGGGGACTACTTCCGTGCTTAAAGTTATTCACATGCTTGAGTGATTTGCTGGATTGTGGCCATATGTAAAGCAATAAATATAAGTGGCTACTTCTGTATAAATAAGAGGTACAGAGGTCTCACAACTAATTTTTCAGCAGATCCAGACCTTGTACTTTCAGGATAAAAGTGAAGAGAACTCTTTTCTCTCATTCAATTAAAAAAACCCTCAACAACAATTAAGGTCACCAGGACAATACAAGCATAAAGGAGCATAAAGCCTTTCCTTTATGAAAATCCTCACCAGGCACTTTCAAGGCTGCATTATCTGGGGAGGAGCAGGAATCTACAAGCCCTGTACTGATGAAGTTGTTTTCAACCTTCTGAGCTGCAAATTCTTGCACCCACTTTGGTGGATGCAGAGCTAAGGTATGAAGCAACTTCTGGCCAGGCTGGAGGACAGCCTGTCACTGTCAGAGTGGGTGCCAGCCCTTTTGGTGCTCCTTTGAAGTCAGCAGAGTCTGAGCTGGCAGCACTGAGTGTGAGGGGAGTTCCCAAGCAAGCAGAAACTCTCTCTATGAGATTCGGGGCGGTTGAATTCCCATGATTTCTCCAGGCAAGGTCATGCACACTTCTCACTCTTAAGCCAGGATGGGAAGAGCAGTGGGGATGGAGGTGGCTCTTCTGCCCTTTCTCTTCTATCTGCATAGCCAAAGGCTCTGCAAATCCTCTTCTTTTTTTTTTTTTTTTTTTTTTTTTGTGCAAAGTAAAACAGAGTTTGATTAAAATAATAATATCCAGCTTTTGGCAATGCTTCCTATAAATTCATGGCTTTAGCCTGGACTGTCTCATGGCCAGACTGTAAATTTTCGCGTTCTAATTCCCTGTGACAAATCTCTAGCCCCAGTCATTGTTATGTCCTTCAGCTTTCACATCCTGCTGGCAAAAACCTCCAACTCTGGTATTCTTTCCCCAAAACATAAATTCCTACCACAAGGGCCACTACCCTGAGAACATTTTTTAATAAACATGTTTGGAAAATGAAAACAAGACACTTAAAATATATGAATGCGAGTAACATCAAATGAAGACTTGGAAGGGGTTTCAAGTAGTATTACAAATAGGAAATAGCTTTGCAGAGATAAAAATACTCCATGTGTTTTGTTAACACCAGCATGCAGTCAGGCTTTATTCTCATGGTGTATTCGGATGTTAAGGGACACCTTTGTCCTACTTGATGCACTTGTAACTGCTGGCTGAGCCAGGAGGTCAGAGACTTTAGCTTGTAATCAGTGGGTGACCGGCAACATCCCTGGCAAATAATGTCAGTGTGACACGATCAGGGCGGCAGCCATTCTCACATGTCAACAGCTGTGGCTCAGAGTCTGAGCAAAGGATGTGGGGAGGAACGTTTCATAGCACAGGCCATTTTATTAAGACCTGGTCCATGCACCTGAGATGCTGCTTAAAACTTTAGCTCCGGATACAGAACAGGAAAAAAGGCTATTTGGGTTTGGTTCTATTCCTCCCCCTTCCCCCCCAGGCATATTAATTACCCTGAGAAACAGCCTCATCACTGACTTAGTGACAGTTGTAGGCTTTCAGCATCTTCCAGGGTGTTTCCTTTTAATTGTCTAGGGTACAGGGAATGTTGCATTTTTCTGTCTTAACAAAAAAGCTTCTGAAACTGGAGTACAGATCTAACAATTCTCTCCATGACAATGGAGATGGCCAGGCATTGCCATTAGAGGCCACTCAAATCCCCTCTGGTGAATCTGGCAATTCTGGGGACATAAATAATACAGTTTGGGAACCTTAGCGAGCATTGTTTAAGTGGAAATATTAGGGACCTACACTAGTCAGCATAGTGTTTTCCTCCTTTTGCTGGAAGAAGTCATGACGTGCTCATAGATCCAGTGGGACATGTATGCATATGCTTAAATCCCATCAGCTTCCAAGGAAAAATTAGCACATATTCATCTTGTACTGGAAGACAGCAGGGATGGAGTGTGTGCCCGCAGGCCATGCTGAATCAGGACCAGGCTCCATGGCTGGAGAGAAAGGACTTCCCTTCTTATGGCCTTAGACAGGCTCATTTCATCTTGCATGGCTAGGCAAGGAGAATAACTAAGCAGGTTCCACTGTGCCTGGCAAAAAAAAAGACTTCATAACCAGAAAATACGTAATTCCTGCCACAAAAATCAGTCAGCTGTTTGAGACCAGGGTACTCCTGATGTTTAGGGAAATGGATGAATTAGAATTGGAGGAACTCTTCCAAAGGAGCTCTTTGAAGGCTTATCATGGAGTGAGGAAGAGAACCTACAGCCCAATCTACAAAGACCATGCTGGTCTTGCCAGGAGAC